TGAGGAACAGCAGAAAGTGCGGGAAAAGCTCTGATGTTTATTTGAAAAGGATCAATAGGACTGGAAAACGGACTTGTTGTCCCTGGACTCTTCCTTGCTAGAGCGACCAACCAAGCGATCGTTACAAAATTTTAAGAGAGATCATTCATTTGAAGGAACTGTGCGTTCACGTGGACAGAACAGTTGAAAGAATGTGACGAAGTCCATTGTTTTTGTAACGAGGCTCAAAGTGAGTGGCTTAAAGGAAGATGAAACTTGGTTGATCTCAAGGTACATTTACTCTAGCAGTGCTATCACTGAAACAGAATAAAGGCGCTTATTGGAATGAGAGGGGCGCTTATCAGAGAGGGGGCACTCATTGGAACGAGGACGGTTAAATCGAATCAATACAGTCAGTTATTTGACCCCTTTTAAGAGAATTTCAGGAAAATAAAGCGAGTCCATGGTTTTAGTATAGGAGTGAAACAGAAGTGCGACTTAAGTAAAGACCCAGGATACTCCTGTACATAGTGAAAGCTCTTGCAATATTTGTCGTATTCGTGCCGTAGTTTTGGATAATTCACAAGGGAGACAGAAGAAGTTCTCTCCCAAGTGTTTGATCTCTCGCACGCAAAGTACGCGAGTACACTTCTACTTAGAGCCTGTACTCACCATTACAAAAGTTGCAGGCTTTTGGACATATGCTCCTCATTTTTCTTCTGTGGTTCTTACAGTATCCATCTTGTTGAACGAACTGGGAACAATGAGCGATTTTGTCTTCACAAGGCACTGAAAGGAAACCAAAGGAATCACTCCAGTTATAAACGTCGATCATTCCAGTGTAACTTTTCTTGGGAGAAGTGCGCACGAGATAATTGCATTACAAAGAGCGCAGAAAATGCCCATTACAGAGCGAGGAGAATTGACATTTGGGCAAAGTTGCATAGAGAAACTTCAACTCCCTTGCAGATTATCACAGAAACCATTCTTCTCCCCTCCTCCCTCCTCCCCCCTTCCCAACAATTTGAGGCACATTTTACCGGAATCCATAAATACTCCAGAATGGAAAGGGATTTTGTGAAAGGAGAGTGACCTATCAAAGAACGCAACACAGTGACCCGATTTGGGCTCAAAGCCGGAAATCTCGATCCAGAGTCCAACGTGAAAACCAATAAACTCCATGTCCCCTGTCAACAATAGGTAATAAAAATGCCTATAAAAACTGGTTACCAGGAGCAAGCGGGCAGATTCCGTTCAGGCTGATGCCCGGGCAGATACATTTATATGTGTCTTCCAACCGCTGACAAGTTGCACCATTGTGACAAGGATTCTTTACGCAAGGATCAGCTATGGAAACAAAGGGATGACCCGTTAAGATATCTAAAATGTAAATGTTTCAACTAAGCTAGAAATTATGATTTCTTTCATTACTTTGTTAGGAAACAATGGACCAAGTCAGCCGCCGTCTGTTTTCGGACTGTGAGCGAGTGAGTGTGTGAGGAAGTGAGTGAGTGGGTGAGTGGGTGAGTGGGTGAGTGAGTGAGTGGGTGAGTGGATGCGTGGGTAAGTGGGTGAATGGGTGAGTGGGCAAGAGGGTGAGTGTATAAGTGGGTGAGTGTATAAGTGGGTGAGTGGGTAAGTGGGTGAGTGGGTGAGTGGATGCGTGGATGCGTGGGTGAGTGGGTGAGTGGGTGAGTGGGTTAGAGGGTGAGAGAGTGAGAGGGTAGTGCATAAGTGGGTAAGTGGGTGAGTGAGTGATTGGATGCGTGGGTGAGTGGATGCGAGAGTGAGTGAGTTGGAGGGTGAGTGGGTTAGTGAATGAATGCGTAAGTGGGTGAGTGCGCGAGTGGGTGAGTGCGCGAGTGGGTGAGTGGATGTGCGAGTAAATGGGTAAGAGGACGCGTGGGTGAGTGAGTCAGTGGGTAAGTGGTTGCATGGGTGAGTCAGTCAATCATTCAGTTGGTGAATCAGTCATCTGTTAATCTGTCTTAATTCTGTCTCATTCCTCATTAGTCTGTCTCAGTCTGTCAATCTGTCTATTTGTCAGTCGGTCAGTCCGTCAGTCTGTTGGTCTGTCAGCATGTCAATCATTCCATCGGTCAATTCGAATAGTCTTAGGTAGATAGGTTTTCTTCACAAATTACCTTTCATTTCATGACAGCATTTTATTGAAGACGTTGTCTCCGTTAGAGTAGACAAAAAAGCCAATTCAACATTATCCCAAGACAACTCGTATGACCAAATAGTAAAGTGCCCGATGCTGAACCCTCCATACGAGTAAATCTTAGTCAAGGAGTTGGGTTTTCCAATAGTCATTTTGTCTTTAGCATTTCTTTCATTCCTTAAAAAATCCGGCTTTTGGCTCTTCACGGCTAATTTACCATTCTTGTAGAACTTCAGACCATGCTCTCGACTCCAAGTAAAGGCGAAATGAAACCACCATTTGGGAAGAGAGTCGAGAAGTATTCTCCACCTGTGCGAATGGTTGGAAAGTTCCAGAACAAATCTTCTTGACGACGTCAAGTGGGGTCCACAGTTTTCACAAATTAAGCGGTAGCCTGGGCCGAGCGAACTTAAGGTGTAATGTCCACTTGAAATGATGAATTCACCTACAATGAAAAAAAAACTGAAGGAATAGAATCGAATGAAAATCAAATGTAGGAATTCACAAAGATTTCCTTTGAACCCGACTAACCGACAAACGAAAATGTCGAACTGCCTCAGCAACGAACATACGCACTGCCGAACAAACTGACAGACTGACGAGCAGACAATCTGACGAAGTGACTTACTGACGAAATGACGAACTGACGAACTTACGAAGTGACAAGATGACGAACTGACGAAGTGACGAAGTGACGAACTGACGAACTGACGAACTGACGAACTGACGAACTGACGAACTGACGAACTGACGAACTGACGAACTGACGAACTGACGAACTGACGAACTGACGAACTGACGAACTGACGAACTGACGAAATGACGATATGACGAGCTGACGAACTGACGAGCTGCCGATTTGACGAACTCAAGATTTGACGAACTCAAGAACTGACGAACTCAAGAACTGACGAACTCAGGAACTGACGAACTCAGGAACTGACAAACTCAGGAACTGACGAACTCAGGAACTGACGAACTCAGGAACAGACGAACTCAGGAACTGACGAACTCAAGAACAAACAAATAAACGAACAGAAGGACAAACTAATAAAAATGAGAGCAGCTTGACGAACCTACGAATCAAAGTTGGATAAATGGACACAGCGGAAAAACCGAAAAAAGCCTTCACACAAACAAACAAACGAAGATGGCGACGAACAACAAATGAACAAAAAAACAAAAGTGACATCCATTTTGCTAACGAGAACCTAACACGAATGAGTTTTGTGCGGTAGTCTGGATAAATCTAAGAAGGGGGAGCATTGTTCTCGATCGTGGACCAAAACAAATTTTACTACTCAAAGAGTATGAAAAATATTATATATTCTGTCAGACAATAATTTTACAACCTTTTCTTATGTGAGAGAGCAAATGCCTTTCAACACCATTACTATCATTTCCATTTGCCCCTCCCCCCTGAGTCAAGTTTTTGTCTTCCTTCCCCAGCATGCCTTTGCTCAACTCCTGCTCATTTGGATAAATAGACACAGAAAACACTACTACGCGGACCATACCATTTAAGGATTCTTACCTTTGATGTATTTTATCCAAAATGCCACCGACAAACCTTCTTTGCAAGAAGAAGGGTCCACAATGCATTTCTCTTTGAAACCCGTCAGTTCGATGAAGTCATCCTCACCATCTAGTGCCAGTACTTCTCCAATTTGATCATCGGTTGACTGCTTCGCTCCATTGTTAACATCACCGGTGATGTTTCCTCGTAAATCCTTCACCCTTTTATCCTGAGAAACGTCACTGAATGGCAAATAATGCGTTGCTTCGGGAAATAGTCCACCTAAGGATTGCATAGAGCAACACGTAAGGTATCTTTTCGCTCTAACTCACGGTAAGTCACCAACACTGCTTTTGTTTAGTCTCAAAGCAGTTTTTAAATGGAGTGTCGACCCTTTATTGCATTGGTTTTGCTTTACTTCGCTCTCTGATTGGTCAAGAAACCTCTCGTCACCCTCCCGACCAATCAGAACTAAGACTATAACCTATCGCGACATGGTTATCCGCGTTTTCCCGCGTACTTCACCGGCTCCAACTCTCATCTTTGATTTCTCAATGAATCCTTGTGATACCCTCCTTTCTTCACCGGTTTCCGTGCAGTTTTCTAAATACACACAAATTGCCTTATTCTGAGGATAACTACAGAATATTACTACGGTAAGTTAGCCAAACATTAAAAAGGAAAGCAAAAACCAAGATAGCGCAAAGATGAAATATGGATACAGAAGATTAGCTCGGATTGCGAGCTTGAAAAATTTTGACGAAGGTTTTCGAGACGCTTCGGTTTTGCAAATTCTTACAATCTCGTATTCAATGACAGTGAAATATCAAATCCAACTAGGATCAGGATTTGAATCAAAGTCTACCCTCAGAGGCAACTAAATGTAAAGCCAGTCCAAAAATGGAAACAATGGTATGACAAATGGGTAAGGAAAATAGGAAAATGGAATCGAGAAGATCGATTATTTGACATGGAAAAAAGAGGAACAGGAAATCGGGAACGTAGAACGCAACCTGGGAACGGCTTGTGGGCCGGCAACTATGAACAGAGAACTTGGAAATCTGATTGAGGACGGAAAATATTAATATCAGTGCATTGTCCGAAATTTGTCATTAATAACGAATGTAAAATTTATACCACAACTGATGATAAAATGCTTGGAACATTTAACCTATCGAGCAAAAGACTCCTTGAAAATTGAACAGAAACGCAGCCCCGCCCCCTAGCTAAAATCTTACTCCACAACTCAGAGACCATCCCGGATTTTTACGTTCCTTTTTGTCCAACTTTGCTTGAATTTTCTAATGAATTGTTTTGTTATCCAGTCCTATTCAAATCTTCAGATGTTTTATTTCAAAAGATTGCCTTACACTGCTCGGTGTAAGGTGAACGAATGCAACGTGGCACGATTATCTGGCAGACAACGATCGATTTAAAAATAGCTTCTGGTGAAACTGAAGAGATTAACCATCACAGGATTTCCTTAAAATAGCTTCTGGTGAAACTGAAGAGATTAACCATCACAGATTTTCCTTTTGATTTATTTATTAGCACTGATAAACAAGCCAAGCGGATTTTCGTTATTTTGGTAAACATTTTTGAAGTTTCTTGACACATCCTGTTATTTGCTTGCAAGTGATCGATAACTATGAAAGCAAATTAACCATGTTTAAAATTTCCACACCGACTGGTACATACGCATTCTGTCCGATACGGAATTATTGTGAGTTAAGCTCATTATCAACTAAAAACAAGAGCGTACAGTGAAGTTAAACTTAGACTTGGGTGGTAATCAGTTCCTTTTCTTTACTTTCGCCTACGAATAAAGGCGTACTTCATTTTGCTTATGAAAAGTTGGAAAATAAAAATACCACAGTCCGTTAATCATTGCTCACGAAGCTTATTCGAATTTGACCTGAGCAGCGAAGGATGAATCGCGTTGGACAGACCATTTAAATGAGAAATCTCGAGTGCTTCTATTCATGCTTTTATAACCGAAAGCAAACAAAAATAAGGAAGTCGGAGCAGGCGGCCGAATCGTATATATACTTTCAATTCACAACATGAACAAATTTACCACATGGTAAACGTCCTTCGATAAAAAGGTAATCACTGCTATTCTCATGCATCAAACGAAAATTTATTTTTAGCGCGGAAAAAAAAATATTTCGGACAACTAGCACAAATTATTTTGAAAGTACACAAATCTTAGAAGAAAGCAAAATAAGGAAAACATGTTGTATGGGGCGAGCAATGAAAATTGTGTCTAATCTTAAAAATTGCGGTCCAAAGAAATTAATTCAAAGTCGAGAAACGGTGAATGTCCATTCTCGATTAAAGGATGTTAAAATGATTCTTTTTAAGGGAAAAATAATAAAACAATCACTACTTGCGATTGGAAAGAAAATTTACATTGTAAATTTTGAAACATTTGAAACACGTTTAATGAAACATAAAATACGGCGGATTTGAATTTGTGAAATAAAAAAATTAACACTTCCCTTTGTGCCGTCTTTGCAAAATTTCTTTCAGCTCGTAACAAGATTTTAAAAACACAAAATGTACTTCTGAAAAAGATGGAGTAAAATAAACCTTTATAAACTGCATGCGAGAAAAGAAGCGGTCGATATATTAACTTATATTATAATTTTTTCGAATACTTGTTTTAGCGCGCATTTTGGTTGCCAAAGCGTGCATCAAAAACATTAACAGGAACAGTGCACGATTTCACGGCAAATAAAAACGGGAAACCAACCTTTTAATTTGGCAAGCCCGTCTATTTTTCTGTGTCGTGTCTTGAAGCGGTTTGCATGGGAAACTCCAGCAAAAGAAATGAGGAGAAACACCAGTACTTCTGAGTACGGAGTTAAGTTCATTTGTCGATAAATTAAGCCAGCGGAGAAGATCACAAAACTAATTACATTTAGGATGGATTCTTGATTCACATAAAAAAAAATATCAACGCTATGCTACTTCACTTCTCGTTACGTGCCGGCTTCAAACCGCGAAGGAGTTGCTGCCATAAAGTTGAGTCAGCGCGACGAACTTTGCACGTTGCTTCGTGCAGAGAACGTTTTGTCAGTTTCTCGTGAATCACCTGTATTGTATGTAGTTTCAATGCAGATGAAACCTTATAATTTATTCATGTGTGATCTGAACGATCGCTGTTCAAAATGCTAATTAACTTCTTTCGGAAACACAAAAAGCAGTTTTTAATTTGCACCGCCGATTGAGAGAATCTTCCAACACTAATGCTGTTGAAACGCTACAAACAAAGTGTCAATTGCACTTAACCCTATCTATAAGCGCCTGATTTCAAACTAGAGCCTCAAAACAACGGTTTTTAAGCGGCTCAGACAGCACAGGAGCTCGCTTTAAGCTTCTTGAGCAGTTCTTGTTTTGTTCAAATTACATCAAATAAAAACACAAATGCAAAACTTTTCTAACTAACGAGTTGGGAACCAATAGTAAAAGATGTGCGTCACTGCACTTGATCTAAAATCTCAATGAAAACGCAGACATTGTCAGACAATGTAAGTATTTGGAATAAGTACAAACAAATCCTGAACTCCGACGGAAAACAAGACTAAAATAATTCTTGTTTTTTTATGTCTACAAAAGATTTGAAAATGAAATATTCATCAGTAGGAATTCCTTTCAGTTTGTAACCAACTAGGTCGAGGAGTGATTTTGCGCAATTGCCAAATATCACAATACCAACTCAAGCTAAGCCCAGTTTTGTGCATCACCTTAAATATCCGAAACTTTTTATCACTTTTTTTTCCATTCTCTGCTCATTAACTTAGTAAAGCATTTAAAATACGAACTAAGAATTCTTCAGAGTGTAAAGGATTGAATTCTTATGCATTCTGTTACAAGGCCCACATTAAGTGGAACAGAAATTCTTAATGAAAGTTTTGTCAAGGTTTATTTAATCAATTGAAAGCCTTAAAGGTTAAACTACGCTAGCTGACCAGATCTAGATGAAACTAAGATGATAAATAAAAAAAAAGTCCATTTGAAATGTATACAGCACATTCTAATAACTCCACACAAACCGCATTAATATAAACATCTTTCCAAGGTCCTTCCAAATTAGTCAGTATTATTTACTGAAGATTGTATGCGCGTTCCTTTTGCGGTTTGTGTTTTGAAAGCCGGAGAGCCTCCTTAAATAATTATCGTCTCGAGTATTTTTTAGACATAGTAATTGAATAGATAAAAACAATCTTATTACAGTAAGTAGCTTAGATTTCTTGTGTTGTTAGAAATGTGGTTAGTTCTTGCATGACCTTTCCCTTCGATTTTTTTCCATTCAAATATTCTTAGTATGAAAAAGTGTAACAACTTTGAAAAAAATCTAAAAAGACTTCGAGATAAATTAGCTTTGTTATTCTGTTTACGACTGAAATCTAGTGAAAAATTACACTGGGTTGAAGACAGAAGCTTGTTCGTGTAACTTTGTGGTCCAGTATTGACTGACGGAAATTTGCGCATACAAAAGGAAATGAGAAAACACTTTCTTGTTGAAACAAAAATCTCCGCAAGAAAAAGAAGAGTTGTACTTAAGACTTCTTCTTGTCTCTTTAAAATCAATGAAATCATAATTTCACACGCGACGAGTTGTAAAATTAAATCTTTGTTCACGTAAACATACCCAGAGTATCCCACGAGTCGGTACTTTCAAAAACAATCGTTCTATACCCGACGGACGTGCGAACGTTCGAAACGTCCTTTAAAACTGTTTACGTTGGCCAATTTACGTCATCAACTCAGTTGATAATACGAAATTACCATGATATACTCTCCCACCGACGCAGCACCACAGTTTCTTTAAAAACTTAATCCCTATATTAAGATTACATACACGACAGATTTCAGAGCTTTGTTATGACAGCACTTTTCAAACACTTTGAAGAGAAGCACTTTCTTCAAAAGTCAATAACTCGTTCGATTTTCCCTTATGGACAATTTCCAACCGAATTATATTAATATTAATATAAACTTTTTATATTAAATATTGCCGGAGGGATTTGTTAATTTCACAAACGTGATGCAAGCAACGTCGACTTTTAATGGAAACTAAAAGCTACTAAAGTTTCCAGGACTTAAGCTATCGATAACTCAAAAAATATGTATAAATTCACTTTAGTGTACAACAATTAGCGATAAGTATCAACAGAAGAGGATTACAAAGTGAGAGGATTTCGGTTTACACTAAATAAAAAAAGACTCACAAATGTATCCGAAACAGGATTTTTTGTAGATCACCAATTTCTATTCTTGCGCAGATTTTTGAACAGCAAACTCCGGCTTTTAAAAGTGAAACAACAATTTCTATCTATAGATTTCTAGCTATTTCTTCTTTTTTAAAGTCATCACTGGTAAAAAAAAAAACTTTGCATTACATGAAGGTTTTAAGTTCCATTTAAAAAGTATATTTCAACATTTAGCGCTCCTTTCTTGCAAATAAGCATGTCCTGAATAATGGTTTATTACATTTATCAAGGTTACTATGAACAAAAGATTGAGGCACAACTGTTTTGTTGAGACAACTAACTCTTTGTTACTTCATCACCGCTTTGAAGTTGCCCTCAAGAAAGAAGATTTTTAAAATTAATACCCATGAAACATTATGAGCGTGGGATACGGTACATCTGTTACCTCTCGATTATTTTGATACAGAAATAATGCATTCATTGACATGATTGTGAGTGGAAAAGTAAAACCGTAACGAAAATTAACGTTTCTTTGATTCAGTAAAGTGTATTACTGAATTCGGCTACTTGGTAAACAGCTTAAGAGTCTTGAGCTGTTTACCAAGTAGCCGAATGTCACTTAGTTTTCAGTATGCCTCTGAAGTTTAGAACTAAAAAAAAAATATCTTGGAGCTCAAAAGATATCGGCGTCACCTAAATAATGTTGATTTTTGAGTGGTCATAGCAATCCTCTCAATTACACCCCTGTCGCTAAGTTTTCACGATTTTAGACGAAGAACTGTAAACTAGCCGGAAGGTCCTGTATCGCGCCGAGAGGCTGGACTCTCAAAGATTTAGGAGTTGCCTTTAAAAAGTGTGGTTCGAAAAAACTATTGAGAATCATTTTGAACATTTTGTTTAACTTCTGTGGTTAAAACAGAAAATAAAGGCTTCCTCTGCAACATGACTACCCGAAAAAGCCGATGCGGAATCTCCGTCTTTCTTACAGAGTTCTTCCCATCCACCTCGTACAAAGGGCTTGGGTTGCGTGAAGCAGAAGGAAAGCTAGGTGTTTTACTACAGGTGGATTCGAAACTAAATTCAACTATTCCACGGTTACACTTTCGATTTCTTAATTCTGAAAGCAACGGTGGTTGATAATTTCCGAAATCTTCCGGGTAACGTAAAATTTTTGTTTGTTCTTTCACCTCTGGTGTAACCCGCTAGCTCATTTCAACATATTTTTTTACGCTTCTTCAAGGACTCAAAATATTATGAAGTAGCTGCTTTAATTCCGAAAGCATCCAACGGTTGTAGCCTACTTTATCTACCCCCCTCGCCCTTCCCTTTCTCGACCAATAGACTGTACCCAGTCCTCTTCTTTCCCGTCGATGCAAGGTTGAAAAGAAACGTGCAAGAACTGGGTACCAAGTCTGCAAGTCATTGATAGAGTAGACTCCGAGAGTGGAAGGAGGAAGGACGTCAGTTTGCCAACATTACTCATTCCACTGCACTCACTTTTAGAAGAGAAACTTCTTACCGCTGCAGCGACCTTCGTGTTTCTTCTCTATCCGCTTCTGTACTCGACATACTTCTTTCCTCATAACGCACATATTCAGGTAGGTTTTGCCGTCGGTGCCACAAATGATTTCTCTGCCGTTAGGGCAAGTATGTTGAGGGCATCTACATTCGACATAACCATGCGAAGTGTTCACACAGCGATCATGGTACTCACACGTCAGTCCGTCACAAGATTCGCCTGATAAGAGAAATAAGAACGGATTCATATTTGAGCGCCCCGCATACTGCTAAGATTATCGTTGTCGAAAGCGAAATAATAGTGGTAATTATAAGAGGAATTAAGTGGTGGACTTTCCACTAAGTGGCTTTTCTTGTCCATTGTTTCCAGGTCAAATTTAAGGTTAGAATGTTGGTTTTCGTAGGGGGAGGAAAACTGGACGACTAGGTGAAAAAGAGCATGGACGAGAACCAACCAAAAACTCAACCTTCATGTGACGCCAGGTCCGCGAATTGAACCCAGGCCACAGAGAAGGGGTGAGCGCGCTCACAACTGGGCAGGTCACGTATCAGATTTGAACCTAGTAATTGTTCCCTGTAGCTTAACAGTAGGGTATGGGAGCACGAAACCTGAAAGTCTTGAGGTTCGATCCCTCACGGATAGGGACTCTTATTTTTCCTGACCAACATCTTTCTTTATTCAAACATCAAGCTCAAAATTTTTCTTTGTCATTATTCTATTTATTTATTTTCCTATACCCTGTGCAAATAAATGATTATCTCACCTACTCTCATGTACTTATAGCCTCATGAAATTAACTCACCTCTTTTACCTCTCCTGGCTGTAGTCGGAGTCCTTGGCCGTGAAGTCGGGTTTGTAGTTATCCCACCACCCGCGGGACTCCCGTTAGTCGGGACCACCGTGGAGGGATTGCGGGATTTCCGAGATATTCTGGACATGAACGTCGACGAAGTCTTCAGTGTCGGTTTTAGCGTGGTGATAGGACGCGAAGGACCTGGAACCAAGCAAGGGTAAAACATTGGTACGATGATTTTGCCAATGAAGTCTATAATTTAACGGAGGTACTCCCCTACTTTTCCCTTACCCTATCACAGAGTCAAATATATATATACATATATGTATGTAATTCTCTGAATGGAAGTCGGAATTAGGAGTCGACTCAGCCCTGTCTCGTGCTTTCGAGGTAAAACAGTGAAACTAGGGAAGTAGTAACTGAAACAATTCTTCGGGTTTAACGGAACAGATTTGTCAAGGATCGCTTAATATTATGTAAAAAGGGCATCAAGAAGTTTTCTCATTTATTTTGAGCGCTTTCCGATTGAGTTTCTTAGAATCATAACCAAAGTAATCACAACAGCAAATCAGAAGAGAGGAAAATGCCTTTCAGAACCAATGAGAGCTCAAAGTAGAAACAAACCAAATTGCTTAAAGCGCGGGAAAACGCGGGCGACCAAGTCGTGATTGCGTTAAGTTTTGCATCTGATTGGTTGAGAGAGTGGTACGAGTTTTCTGAACCAATCACAGGGCGGAGTAAAGCAAAATCAATGAAATCCCGGATGACTTTCGGCGCTTAATTAAATGAAAATTGTTTTAATCCCACCAAACAGTCATAACTATATGCATGAAAGTCGCATGTGGATTTTTATGACGGAGGTGTCAATCAATTTTTGCGTTCAATCCTTCAATTCAAGTTTAATAGAGAGGGCGACTTACTCACCACAGTAATTGCAAGACTGCGGACAAATTTCTCGCATTTTTCTTCGTTTGCAGTATTCAGATTGTTTAGCGAACACGTCGCAACTTCTACTCTTGTCCTCACATTCACCTGTTATCTTTGCTGAAAGAATTTTTGAAAAAAAAATTCAGTAAAATTCATGAAATTATATTGTATGCAGTGAACACAGCGGTCAAACGTTGGCCATGCGCGAGTGGATCAGTTGTAGCCGGCCGCGCGCCGATTTACCGCACAAAATTTAAAAGAAAACGCTCATAACAAACAACTACTGTCTCGCAAAATAGGTGAAAGAGAGTCGAAACGTCCATAGAAATCTGTAAAAGGAAACAAAAGTAAGGGAAATGAAAACTCTAGACTTTTGCAACAAAAGGCTTATTCAAGTACGAGAATCCTCCTGATTTACCATTCTGTTTGGAGCTATACCAAAAAAAGGTTATACGCATTTAAAACACCGTGACTTACTGGCTTGTGTGGTTGTTTGTAACTCGCGTGAGACATCAGAAAGCATGTCACCTTTTCATTACAACGTTCGCTCATGCACAGACGTTTGACCGATGTGTTTATGCAGGATTGTTCAAAAGATTTTGAGTAACCGGACTGTGATACAAAATAAGCCACACAAAGACATGCTTCCATGTTGAGAATTGAGGCAATAGCATTCAGAATATATGGCGAATTTTTCAGAGTAGACGGTGAAATGTACCAGTTGCCTATCACTTTTAACAACCCTGCCTGTAAGATTGGGCACTTGATGACAACTCTAAATTATAAAAACTGAAATTTCTCCAATAGCAATTTTTTGCCTCAAATGGATGATCCTAACTATGAAATGGCTGTTGTTTACAATGTAGCTGTGTATACTAGAACGTAAATAAATGAATGAAAAAGGGAGTTTATGTTCAGTTTCAGAAGAATAACTGAATATACAAATAAATAGTTAGAACAAGTAGGTTGTTAATTTATTATTGGATATGCCTTTCCACTTATTTGCATATGCCATGAACTGTTCTTTTTGTTACCTTTGCAAGTTTTAAGGCCAAGATTGACAGCGGGGCAAAGGCACTTCTCAGCAGATTCCATGATTCTGCGACAATGTTCAGGGTCATGACATGGATTTTCCATACAACGGCTCACTGAAAGTACAGGAGAATATGGTTGTGTATACTTTACAACCAAGTCACAGCTTATCTCCCTTGCAAGCATTGTTTAGGGTTGTTGAGGAACATGCTCCTTCCCAAGAAGACAAGGGGGTTGGGGAGAGAGCAGATTTGCATGGAAAGCCTGCACATTAATTTTGCAGGAAGGCAAAAACAAGTTAAATACAAACAACTAGGTCTTTAGAGCCCTTAAATTTTTTTTCCGAAAGCTCTGCTAACTAAGGAACTCATAAAGAGGGAAAACTAGTCTCAAGAGCAATTCCAAGGATTCTTTTACCAGACTGACATTCACATGATTCAAAATGGTAGCAAAGAGCAAAGGTCTGGTCATTGCAGGGTCCAATTTTTAATTGATATGGGGGGTACACCCATGGACCCTCTTGGCTTTGCTCTAAAGGCTTGTCATTATTCCCCTTGCATTAATACTCTACATTTGATACCCACCTGATTTGAAATAACAACACATGGATAATTTCGCATCATAAGTAACTCCATCTTGATACACTCCAGCAATATCTGCAGCTGAAAGTTCTTTCTGCCAGATGGCAAACTGAGAAATCTCAAACTTTCCAAATTTCTTGAGACTCAAACTGCTGCTAGGCCGTGCAAGTGTGATAACAGGTGTGTAATTCTGTTGGCGCAACGCAGACACAATTTCGGGCTTGTCGGTAAACGAGCTCAAATTTCCATCCTCGTAATACGCCAGTCCGTTCCGTTCCCTCCATGTAAAGGCCATATGCGTCCACAGCCCAACTTCTTCGTGAATAAACAGCGTCCACTTTTTATCTCTGGTTTCAAGAATAAATTTAAAACGTTTCAAGCTCTGGTGGTAATATAGCTGATATCCTGGACCATTCCTTTTGTTCGTGAAAGATCCTGATGAGAAGATATAGCCAGTTCCTTGAACCTTGAGCCAAAATGTCACTGTAAATCCATTCTCACATCTTGAGGGTTCTGTCACGCAATCTGCGTTAAAACCACCTTGAAACGTGACACAATACATTTTAAAAGAATGTTGCGCTAAATTTATTTTTCTGTACCTTACCCAGGTCTTTACAAAGGGTAAACTGTGGTCAAAAGAGTAAGTCAAGTCAAGTGATGCAATAATTTGAAATTTATCAAGCACTTATTATCCGCAACCTACCTGACACTGATGACCATTTCAGTTTGATGCGAGACATTTTAAAATTGACAACGTTCAAGCGTATAAATTCGTGACAGGGCAATTCATTTTTAAAACAGCTGTCTCCAAAAGCCACGGAGAACTGGTTCCTTTTTTCAGTGAGAGTTTCACCTTTCCCAACCGGCCATATTGAATAATTCAAGCACGGTCAACTTTGAGAAAACTGGGACCAAGTAACCTTAGGGTCAATCGATCGGAAGGTGCTGTACACAGATCAACCTTCGGCCGTTCGGAAATTCGTGCAAATCTCCGACGATTTCCGAATTTATGCCATCAAAATCATTATTCATGTGATCACCTTATTTAATGGAAAACGACGTATTGATAAAAATTGATCAACATTTCATTGCTTCTACAATCGAGGGTCGTAAGAAAACTAAAAACTTGAAAGTGGTTAAAAAGAAAACGAAAGATGTGATCTATATGTAAGCTTCCTGATATGGGATATAATTTCTTACGAGTTGGAAACTCAATACAATCCTCCCACTGAGAGTAAACTGTTGACGAAATGACTGTGAAATACTGAAAGTGCCAGAGTTGCCTTTTAAGAATGGTGCAAGTGAAGGAAAGTTTCAAATGTGCTTTCGTTTAAAGGAACACTGTCAAAACATCTTCCCGGGAAATTGATTCTACAAAACCACTAATTTTCTCAAGTTTGAACTTTATACTTCCGTCCTTGACGGTGATACAGGGTTAGGCGATGGTTAGTATCCCATACAGGAGGAAGACTTTTATTTGATATCATTTGTCACCAAAAATACTTGATTTATCATTTGACAGCGTTTCTTTAAAATATTTGTGGGGGGTCTCTTATCACATGAAATTTTTGCGACATGAAAGAAAAACTGGCAACAAGAAAAAATTATACACGAAAAAAAATTGCCAGCTGCAATGTGAAGAGGTAGAATCATACTGAATTATGGTTAGATATTACATGTTATTTGCAATTTTTACTTTGACCTCGAAATGAAAACATAAACAAAGAAACAAACAAAGCACGAATACATTTTCCTCAAACGTGTTTCCGTATTGACAGAACCCAACCAAAATTTTATTGCAATGGTTAGTTCACAGTTTTTGGTCTAAAGGGGGCGGAGAGGATTTTTCAAAATTTTTTCCTGATACTAAAAATAATTGAAGGTGTCGCAAAAATTTCATGTATAAGGGAATGTGCGCGAAGTGAAACCGTACTTACAACCAAACGGCTTTCGATCGCGACCGGCTATGGGGAGCGAACTGCATTTCCGACTCCTCCCTAGAGGAGAGTGTGTGTCAGTCGACAGTTAAGTGGCAATTAACAAAAAAATTGGGTTTGGGTGCTGAAGGAGGAAAAATTTTTTTTTTGCGCCAAATGGAGACTATTGTCTATGAAGGGTACCTTTCTGGTCAAGATTGATAAATAACAGGATTTTGTTTAAAAAGTAACGGAAAAATCAGGTATAGGACCGCGACGAATCTAGATAGTTGATTCAACTAGGGACATTGTTAATCAAAAAGAAATATACAGATTACTCAATCGCAGTCGTTAGCGTTTGTGACGACTGTAACACAACTTAACAAGTTTTTGGGGGAGGGGGTAGAGTAGGTCTCTCCTACCCCTTCCATAGAAAAAGATCTGCTACTGTTGATCGCATTGAATGTCGCTCCCCTGGGGGTGTCACAGACAATACGTCTGTCGATACACTCTATACTCACCAGTATCCACCCAGTCATCTATTCCATCCAAGGACAATGCATATCCCAGCTGAGGTACTACCACAATCTTTCCTTCATGTACGACGGTGTGAGCTGCCCCTCTAACATCCTCGAGGATTCCATTCGTTATGTTGTCCATTGGCCAGTAATGTTCAGCGCTCAGATAAGGGGAGCCCCATGCAAGAGGAAATGGGTAGGCTGAGGTAAGGAAAAACAATGGTTAAGTTTCTGTTTCAAACCTGAGCAACCACGATAAATTTGGTCAGTGTTGAGAAAAATGTGATTGCTCATCGTTGTGCTTACATGAATCGTTGAATGGCTTGTCCTTGTATATCCACGACGTGATAAGAGAACAGACATATTTTACCGCCTGAGGTGGGGGGGTCGGAGGATTTTGGCTGTCACAATAAAATTTACCTGATCTCCTCTAAGGCTCTGTAGTATCATAATGACGCCCCTCCCCCCTCTCCCCCTCTCATTGCGGTCAATTTTCTATAAACCCCCTTTCGAAGACTGATCTCCTCTCCATTCCCCCGAAAACCACGTGATACCCCTCGCAAAAAAACTTCTCGGGACCTCCCCCCGACCTCTCCCCGGACCCCCCCTCCCCCCTCAGGCAATAGATATTGAGTGATCCCAAAGTCCAATAAAAATGCGAAGGTTATGAAATAGAGTATGATATGAATACAAGAGAGAGTAAATGGATTGGATTTGTGGACTGAAAAGAGGTGAAACCTGAATGCAGTAGGAGATAAACAGTTCTGGAAATGGAAACATGTTTTGTCTGACTCGCTTATTGAGCGATGCCAGAGAAAAATAGCAGAAAGAGGATATAGGATGGAGAAATTTTTTTATAACAATCCGATCGATATTTCATAATCGTAATAATAACAATATAGAATTTAGAAATGAACATTCCACGAGGTCGCTCTTCTTTTCCAGCTTTATTGGTCGAATTGCATTTTGGAATATTGGTTTTTGTGGAGAGAGGAAAACTAGAGGACCCGGAGTGGACCCTCGGAGCAAGGACGAGAACCTACAGGCAACGTTAAATACGGGAATCGAACCCAGGCCCAGGGGTGAAGGTAAGTCCCCCTACTATTACTTTCTCCGTTTTAGTTTAACTCTTCTCGTTCACAATGGCTTGAAAGGCTTCGACTAAAAGTATCCACAAACGGCTGCTGAACTAGCTCTAACCCATAACACCCTAACATCAGTATTAATATTCTCCATACTGTTCTCCTCACTGTTCTCTAAGGGTGATGGAAAGGAGAATTTAGATGGTGATCACATCCTTTATTCTCATAAACTTGATGTGTGATTCAAGGATGTAAGGAGAAATTATATTTTAGTGACCATTACGGGCCAAAGAGTTGACTAGGTTCCTTCTATTTAAGCTACATTCCTCTTTGAAGTGACACACTTTCATGACGCGATCGGCCCTTTGTTTAATGACAATCAGTCACCTCTCCCTTCCCGTCCTCCCAATTTTTTATTCCAAATCTCTTGGGCTAAACAAATACCCAAGTATACTACCTTAAGACAAAAATTATTCCGCAGAAAATTCTTGCACAAAATCGACACTTTACGACGCGATTTAAAACATACGATGGACAGGTTCCATCACACTTACCGGCCAAAAAACTGTTAGCAAATGTTTGTGAAGATGAATAAAAGCGCAGTTGAAGAAGGTGAGTGTATAAGTTAGGTGATAAGAACGCTTAGCAAATCACGAGTGGTTACGACGAATGGAAGCAATACATGAATAATTAGCCAGCAGATCGAGAACGGTGCGCCGTCATGGGCGCAAAAACTAGAGAGCACAAACTTATGGCTAACTTTTTAATTCTAGCGTTTCAGTGAGATTCGAGTGCAGGGTGCGTACTTCAAGCAGCCAGCAGGTAAAGTGCAATTGACGTGCGCGTGCGCAGTGAAGCCAAACTGGTAGTTACTTACAAGATGTACGCTGCAAAACTAAACAGATTCCAGAGTGGTCAAGATCAATGAAGCCCGGCATCGTCAAGATAGAAAGAAATAAAACGTACAGTCAAAGAAACAAGAAAGTAATAAGATGTTTTGATACTAACATAGTTGTATGAAGTCGCAAGACAAGAGAGTAACAAATAAAGTACAGAAGGCTTCAGCAAAGTCTGCATTCACCCCCCTTCTTCCCCCCCCCCCCCCTTGGAAATTTGGCGAGTTTCTGCAAAGTGCCCTTGTACCCACTCTCGGGTGAAGAGCCTCTGAGAGTCAAGTCCGGACACCTCACCTACAAATTTCCATATCCCTTTGCGAAGGTTCATGAGCATAATCAAATTTATAATTATTTTGAAAGTTTGTCACTAATTGTTTCTGATTTCATTCCGTACGACTTCCTGTTTTTAGATCAGTTAGGGTTTATCAATAGTTTTTATTCACTTCTCACCACCGAGTAATAAAAATGAATAGGTTTATATCTATTAGATCTACGCTTATCGAAAATAATACTAACAATAAATTTTTTTTCATCGAGGACCCAGAGGTGCAGTTTGTGCAGTTTCGAGTTTAAGTATTGTACCAGGTGGACATTCTTAACGTTAAAAATAATTTATCAAGGGTTCAGTGTTGTATCTTTGGAGTTCGGTATTGAACACTACATTGAGAGAAAACTGAATTTGAATTTTTGTAATTTCGTTATGCAATAAAAATTAGAAATACGTCTGATAAATATCTAACGTCATCAGGTCAGACAAATTGTCGTTTTCATAACTAATAAATAGGAGTTTCAAATCGAGTTTGTTCCTTTTATATTGAAAGAAAAACAACTGGTTATCGAAAACTCTGTTATGTCAACAAAGAGTTCTTGGCGAGCTTTGGTGACCGTTTGATTCATAAGCTGAGAAAAAATTCAGGATATGCACCTGACTGAGGAAGAAAATGAGAAATTCTATGCGACTGAAAGTAAAAACCGCATTAAATTTTGTGTTTTTTATCAATGAAGATATGCCAAACTCGCTGTCACGGCTAACGAATATCTGAAAGTTGTGTCTATAGTAGTGACCACAGAAAACTTTGGAAAGATTAAGAATTCTGTTATGATACTTAATAAATTATGTTATTTAACGGTAAATGAAGAAATCGTTTCGATAAAAAATTTTCTGTGAGATATGAAGGTTTCAACCACAAAAAAAAATGTACTTTTTTGAGTATTGTTTCGACATGGAAGCCGTAGTCATGGTCAGTATAAAAATCTTAGTTCATAATAATCACAGAATATCTGATTGACTTTGCAAACAAGTGACTGATCCGAGTTAATCATGCAAATTTGGAGCTGACGGACAATCACTTCAAAACTCCATGTCAGAGAAACCTGCTGAAATTTGTGTTTCAAATTTTGAATGGTTTCATTGTTAAGCTTCAGCACACCTTGACGAAAGAGGAATCACTATGCTACATCTTATCTATCTTAGGCTAGTAAATTATTCATCTCTTTTGTGTATGCTCTAAAAAAATTTAGGGGCCGGAGTGTATAATTAACGTACATTTGCCTACAAGGCAAAAATGTTGAATGTGTAAACTAGCCAACGAAACGAGTACACGAATACTAATTTTTTTAATTTGACGTTCAGAAATTTATCAAAGAATTACTACGATTTCATTCGTTTTCAACAATGTCTGGATTCGTGAGAATTATTTGCAAACGGAACTTATGGATAAAATGTTTTCAAACCACTCTCCAAATGCGTCATTACATGATAATTTAACGATAGCAGAACGAAATTAAATTAGATATAACATCAATATTTTTTACAGAAATCTTAGGAGAATACTTACCGACGACCAAGACCCAAAATATGATCCTGTGGATAACAGTGAAATTCCTAACGCTTCCGCTCATAGTCAGACATATCCTGTTTCTCTCGCCATAAAATAATGTTAAATGAATTCACAGCAAAATTTTCACAACATTTCTCACGAAACTTCGTTCGTGTCAGCGCGTCCAACTCATTTTGATCTCGATCACTCGACGGCTCAAGACAGAGACCTGAAAAACAACAATCAACGATGAATACTAAATTCACAAGTAATTTTTTTTGTACCTTGTAAAAACCCTAGGAGATTTGTTCTAGCTCAAGCGACACACCGTTGGCTAAGATTTCCTTCTAACCCAATTAAAGTTCGTTTATCGCAAGAAGAAAGTTGACAGACGAAAATACCAGTCTTTGTTTAGCATGTAAAGCAAACCTCAGCTGGAAGCCATGTAGTTGTATTATACTCGACCAATATTTGCACAGTTGGCCGTCAAACTCGCATCTCCTTTCCCCCAATCTACACTGAAACGCTTTACGAAAATCATCACTTTTTTAAAAGTGATTATCCTTCGCAGAACAAACATGGTTTATCAATAATGCACGTGCAACAACCTTACATAAAGAGATTCTAACGCTCTTTTCACTCCTCCAATCGTATGGCACAATATCATCTTCATTATTTCCTCATTATTTCGCTTCGTCGTTACTGTGAAATGTTTCTCACTACCGGGTGGGAAAAATTTGGTTTTGAAAATAAAACCAATTGATACTTAAAGTCGAGATTTTAAAATATTTATTACAATTGTTTCACCACGTAGATACAAGGACAATGGTGTTGCATTCTGAAGATTTTTTAAATGGGTTTGTTTCGAAATGGAGGAAGCTTACTCGGCGCATAAAGGTTGCAAACTAATATATCTATGCTACACTTGTATTTATTAATATCAATTGTATGAACTGGATGAATGTATCCCTGTTCTGACCCTGCAGGAAAAAAAGGCGGGAAAAATTTTGTACCTCCTACGATATGATTTATCATGAAGTATTGTTTTTTCATTTTCTGGAACAGAATTCGTCTATGGAACATTGTGGTTGCTGATAAAGATTCATTCCCTGAAGGTTTATTTATTTTACCATAAATTGAATGTTCGCCTTGGCCCCCTCAAGATTTTATCGATTCTACAAGCAATAAAATTGATTGTAATCTTGTTAAACTGATAACAGTTGGGATTTCACGGTCTATTTCGTTTGAGTCAAGACGTGCCTGTGGTCGTCGACTATTGTAAGGAAGTGTTTCCTGTAATATACTGTGAAGCCTCTAGAAAGCTGTCAGTCTGTTTGCCAAATCATAAAAAAAAGCCAAAAATATACCAAGTTTAGAATGTTTTGTCAACAGTGTGATCTCTGTTGGTTTTAAATAAAGAAAATATATTCTACGATTACAAAAGGATAACAAAAGAAAAAAATGTCAACACGTACAGGAAACAAAAATAAATGATTCCTAACCTTTCTGTAGACCATTTTTATAAAATTTTTAAAAATAGCAGGATGTTATTTGAAGCAAAATATTGCAACGATTTGCATTATCTAGGTTAAAGAATTCCGTCGAGGACTTAAGATTCTTGAATGCAAATTTGTTGTAAGATTTTGCAAGAGCGCCCATCAAGCATTTTTAAATCAACAATTTTACGTTTTCAAGAAGCTGATACCGGCTATCTCATGATCACACAACTAGCCGCCAATATGTCTATTATTCAAATAGAGCAAGCTACCTACTTGAATTTCTCCACGTTGTTTCCTCAATAGTTTGAAATTTTCATGCGATCCACCCAAAAATTACGCGTTCAGAAGAACATATATTTCTGATCTGTCTTCATTTCTCTATAATCCTTTTATTTTCTGGTCTGATAAACCTAAAGTGATTTCATCGTTTGATTGTCAGACAGTAACTGAGTATCTCGTCGTCTGGAACCTTTCTCATCTTAGTCTATGTATTGTTATCTTTTAATCTGAACAGAATAAATAAGCAATATTTGCAAATTAAAAGGGATGGTGCAGCTTACGATCGCGCCTATGTCTCGGCTTCTTGTCTGAAATTCAAAACTTGCAGACTCAGGAATCAAAATAATGTATAAAAATTCCAAACTTCAGGCCAAATTTCACGTCAGCTTGTCTTGTAAGTGAGTCATGCAAATCAAGTCACGTCTGACGGTTGAGAGAAATGAACGCAATTTGCTGTCGATTATTTGACAATTTGCGCCTTTGTTGATTTGTAAGAACGGTGCAAAGATTGTTTGTTGCTTCTAAAGGCTGCAATTTATGTTACAAACTTATGATAAACAATTTTATCCGAGTCACTTAAGGTTTGCATGATCATGATCATAAACTACACTGAAGTGCATGGTTGTATGTGTAAATATATAAGAATTCATTCCTAGGATAATGGTTCTTCGCGTATTCATTCTGTGGCCAAGGTAATAATACAATAAATTTGTTTTCATGATCTGAAATTGAAGATTGTCGAAACAATGTAAAAATGTAATTAACTTTGAATAAAGAATCAGTATCGTGAAGCCGTAGTTTTGGGGAAATTGACTATGGAAAATAAGCCGCGACTTAAGGTAATCTGTTTAGGGCGTCTCGGTAATAAATAAACCGACACGTAGGAGATTTTTATTAAACAGATCTTGGAGCCGTCTCAGTCCCTTTTTCAATACTCCCATATAAATAGAAGAGCGAGTCTGGGTACGACTCCCAAGGATCGTCAAATGGAAGAGTGATTTTGTTGAGGAACGTAAACATATTACTCTCAGGAAAATCACAACTTTGGATGCTCTTCGTCATATAATACTCAAGGGCGTTTTTGCCCCTTTATAGCATTTTTTTATGAGACGTTTAAAGTAAAGGGCAATTTAGAAACTGTTTTAGTATAACCTGGATGATAATCAAGAGAGATATATCGCCGTCGTGAATTTTACAAAAAAGCTGACGCTTAGAGAGTTAGTGCTTCAGTCTCTCAAAATGTGAGTGGTTGAATAGAATTGATACGACATTTTATCTCCCTTCATCATCTTCTGGCTGAAATGGTCTAGAAAATATTCCACTCTTATGCAGACGTAACGCAAAAGTTCCTCTAGGAACTTATAACTTCGCAACACACAAACTGTTGTGCCACGCATTCTTGAAAAAAGTTGTCGATTACGTATTGTAACGGTTATAAGATCATACGAAGAGACGAGTGAGTTATCCAAGGCATTGTTAATGCAAAATTAAGCACTCTTATTATAATTATGCAAGAGTTGAATTAAAACTTACGAACCCTGGGTTCTACCTTTTTCTTCGAAAGTGCCTTCGATACAATTTGAAGTCGAACCTACACCACACGCTGTATATAATTTGGAATTTTTTTTATTTTGTACTAATGTTTTCCAGAATATAGGCTAACTTTATGAGCTTAGGTTTTGGTTTTTAAAAATCAAAATATTGATTAAGTCTGTCGGCTGAAGAATATAATGCGATTCTTTTGAAATATTTGCCTGCTCGTCTTTTCCAATAAGCTTGACTCCGGAATTCTCAGCAAGATCAGAACGTGACAGGATAATGCAAATATTCTTTGACTTAAAGCTTAACTTGAAAGACATTATTTTAAAAATAGGAGCAAATACAACATTAAAATTACTTTCCTACACGCATTAGATACAGCAGTTTAAGTCCTGGTTTCTTAGTAAACTTTGCATCGAAATGTAAACATTCTCGCCAAAATGTTTCACCTTATGGTACAAATTAAATCTATCTACCGATAACAATTTTCTTACCATGTTTTTTTAACAAAGCATAATTCCCCTTTAGGAGCGGCAAAAGACAGTCGATGAAACGAAAAATCGGCTAAATTCCAGTTAAGATGTTTCTTGATGTAAAATATGAAAAATACGAAATGTTTTCAATGCTGCCAACAAGCAAGTCGTTTAAGCCATCTATCTGATTTAGCAACGACAATATTTCATTGGAATTCAAGATCTGAATCTTAATTAATGGTTTATATCCAGTAGCCATTTACTATTCAGAAAGGATGTAAGAGATAAGAAAAGTCCCTTACAGAGGAGAATTATTGATAAAAGTGATAGCGTCATGAAATTTTTATTCTGGGTGAGTGGAAGCCGTGGTGAGAAATATCTCTCTTCCAGCTGACCCGTCGATGTTTTTCTCATGCGAATATAATGAGAGAACTCTCTTGATTACAAATTTACTGTTGCCTGGTCATGCATTGCAGATTGAAGGCCCAAAAGGCAAAGTACCGCAGAACTGAATGGAAATATCTTTGGAAATCATCAAAGTTTCCGTAACAAATAACTTTGGGAACTGAAAATGACTATCAAAGTCTCCTTATTTGATTCCTAAGCCAGCGGTAATTGAACAAAAACTGCCTTGTTATTTGTTTCTGTTTGAATCCGAAATTCAGAATTCTCATGTCGTAAAACGCACGAAAAATGTTCAGTTATTTCATTGGACTCCATATTCACAAACCATGACTAACCTTACAAGAGGCCAAGCCGGTTGGTGCAGAACAGTGATAACGTTTGATATATTAAGCACAGCATCACCAATCCTAGTCAAATTTAATCTGTGCAACAAATACTTCAGTTTCACGAGTGCTCCGTCAGAATGCGAATTTGACAAGTGCTCCGCCAGAAAGCGAATTTGACAAGTGCTCTACTAGAATACGAGAACGTTTTGTATCACTATTAACTGACACTAGTCAAATCAGATTTATTAGAAACTTTTAGTGAAAGAATGGGTGAAAAAAAATCACATATCTTTAGGTGGTGAAAGTTAAAGCGTCATACGAATAACACCGTGATATATTTAATTGGTTTTAGAAAAGGCACATCAATTATAACAATGACAAGGATACTAAAAGGTAATCTGAAACAAGGGGTGGGAGAAAAAAAAATTTATTGCCAGCTGTCTTGACAATCGAGAGCAATGCAGGAGCTAGTCATACTTTTAGTTGTCAGAAGGACACAGTTGTAAAATCGAAAAAGGTTAGATTAATTAACTCTGTTCTTTATCGGAGGCAAACTAAATATTGCTGAAAACCTTTATTTCAGCTTATACTAGGCGTGGTTAATGAACAAAGATTTTTACAGAGGATTTGGCTTCATCGGTAAAAATTTTAATTTTTTTTCAGTGCTTAATTTTTTCTTCATCATTTTTGTTTATTCTATCGACCTATCGTTTTTACGCCATTCACCATTTTCAAGATTACACTCGGTGAAAAGTTCGAAACATTATGCTTCTTTGAAGCATAAATTATGACAGCGTATTTTTAATTTGAAGTGCTTCGTCGATTCGAATTAGACTAAATAAAAATACAATACATTGGTTGTGAGTGTTAATTTACAGTCGAAGTTATTTTAACTCGGGTTAATTTGAGAAAACGTCTCACGCTTCATATCGGCTTCCTATTAATAGGTGTCCTTAGCTGATAATCCAGTAGCAGGAATGTCTTTTATGTATCTATCACAGAAATAACAAATATTATGCTCGGATGGAATTCAGCTTGAATCGCAAAAGTCGACGAATGCAATATTTAATCACTGATAATGATTAGTGTTACCACATGCCTTAGACTTTCGATTCCTTATTTTCATCGACCATGATCACAGTTGAATGGAAGTAAAAATTTCAATTCATTTTTTTTCGAGCAGAATCGTGGAAGAAACTAGCAAAAAATTTCTCGAGAGAAGAAATAGAAGTCTGCCATACAGGGTAATATTTGCTCCCGCCTCCTACTGAGCGAAAGAAAACCATAAAATATGATTAGATAAGCGAGCCAATGCCGTGCGCCCGAGTAAATGAAAATTTTTATCAACATACACCTCGAATCGTACAACTCAAACTGCTGGATCGTTATTTAATTTTCTAGAATAATTAAGTTGTACAGAAGATTCGATGGCAAAACTTTCGTGTCTTTTCGGAATTAAATTGTTTCATATCACGATGGGGAAGCCATTGTCACGATATACTCAATCTTATCAACTCTCTGTGTCAGTGCTTTAGCAAAAATACGATAGTACGATAAAATGGAGTCATGTGTGAATACTTTACCTTATTGCTGACCCACTGAACATTAATATTTCAAGCGTCCTGTTGAAGTTGTCTCCACTTCATACTCAAATTCGAAGACGACATGATCATGAAAGTTTGTAGCTTTTCTGAAAACGAGAATACTACTTTCATTATTATCTGAATAAAGTTTACAGAGTTAAAAGATATCTCCAGAGATATCTTTAAGTTCAAAAGCGAGATTTACCGTAAAACAAAACGTATTCCTATCGAGATATATTGCCTCACAGTTTACTGTGATTTTTGCAAAAGTTTTCGTATCAACTGAATGCACCCGTGAGCTTGTCTACGAAGTAGTAGAAAGTTTCACCAGCCGCTTTCGGTGTGGCGCTAAGAGAGTTTGGAAAATCTTCTAGAATAGGTTATGACCCGCGGCTAGAGCCGTTTTTAGACTCGACCTTTCTCTGAATAGTTGAAAAGAAAGCAAAATAGCTTGGCCTTATTAAACATTTATGACTCAGCTATTGACTGATACAAGAACACAGCAAGAGAACGTAAGAACACAAAGATAAGCCGTTCTATAGGCAGCCAATGGCTTGCTTGAAACTGTTATTTAGTCAAACCCCCGAAAGATGGTCAAATACAATAATCTCTATGCATTAAAGAGATACAACTCTGTAAAAGGAACTCGATCTGTTGAAGTTCATATGTCGTTCACTACTTCCTTACTTTTCTGAAGATTAAAAATTATGTTGCAGCAAAAAACTTAAATAGAACTAAAATCAGCTGTTTTTTTCAGGAAAAAATAGATCATGTCCATCCAAGACGCCAGCTTTTAAAAACCAGTCGTCTGACCTCTAAGATAATTCAGATTATTACTTGCTAGACCTAATTTTTCAAGTTACTGGAATTTACGTAAGAGATTAAAACTCACGTTATCTGTTGTAAAACCACTGTGAGAAGGACGTGTTTTTTTAGAATTTTTCTGGGAACCGTAAAAAACAAACTTTTGAGGCTTCGATAAAAGCAAATGAACTCTGTCATTTGTAACTTTGTTAGATAATGTTTTTAAATTATTTTCATTTTTTAGTCAAAGATTGACTTCATTTGAGAGATTACACATTTCTTCTTCCATTTGATGAACACTTATATTCTCTCAACCTTCTCATCGAACTGAACTTTGATATTCAACTTTGAAATATGTTGCGTGAGAGATAAACACAGGAAATTGTTCATCTAAAAAACAAATTTATGACTTTTACTCAAAATTAACTGTCGTTTGTGCATAACTTAAATAAGTGTCAGCTTAACAAATTAAACATCTCAATGCGTGCAAAGAAAAATGTTTAGTTTTTGCACGCTCCTCTCGTTGCACATGCATCACGCTTCAAGCGCGCCTCGGGCTTTTCTCCGTTCATTTGACAAAAACAAAAGATTATTCCCGTTCTGCAGGCTGTGCAAAATATTTCGCCTAAGATACTTGCTATTGTAGCATTATCAAATGACGCGTTTGGCTCCGCGAGCACTTTTACGAGGAAAAAACAACCACCTCAAAAAAATCTCGAAAGAGGGACGTAAACGATGGCGTGAGCAGAGCCGTGGAAAAAATTTATATGGAAAAAAAGAGAAGAAAATGAAAAGGAAGAAAGAGGGTGTTAAATTCACTAAAATCTTAGTTAATTTTGTAAGGTCCGGCGTGAAATCTTTTTCCCCACGGTCAGGGAGTATAGATTTTGAGCCAAGAATGTTTTTCCGTCCGTCTCTCTCACTCAGCCAACAAGTTCATAAGAAAAAAGATAAATGAAAACTTCAGGCGATGATTTGTAATTTCAAGACGAACCCAGTCAATCCATACTTTATATTGGCCGAAATAAGGGCTAGAACTACGAAGAAAATTTAACAAAACAACAACGCGTTAAATTCAAACTGGAAACATTTATTTATAGAACAAGGAAAATATCCTGCTGTTTTTTCTGTTTGAATGTTTTTTTTGCGAGGTGAAATTTCAATTTATCTTAACTTTCATATATTTCAAGGAAAAGTAAAATTCCTCCCTAAAAATATCTGAGGGCTCGCCTCGTAAAGTAATGTATTTTGATATGAGTCCGTTTAGTCATTAACCTTCTACGTGTTTGGAGCTAGCTTTGCGACTGAATCGAAACATAAAACTGCAGATGAATATGACATGCATATCAGCTTATGTCAAACGGGAATATGTTTTCCCCTTTGTTCTTTTCAAAGAATAAGTAAATATTTGTTTTAGACTCTTAACCCGCTCTGTGACCAGCTGTTTTAGCAAATCGAGAAGCCGCAAGCGCATTGGTGCAAATTTTCCCGGGAAGAGGTTAGGTCATTCTTAAATAAATTTTAATTGGCTATTCTTCCTTGAGGAGATTTTAGCCAATCAGAGATGATGTTCTGTTATGTGCATTCAAAATACGCTACATGTCGCATGCGCATAACAGACCAGTCAGAGACTGCCGTGTCAGTAAGCCGCCGGGAAACATGACTTGCCTTTAGATCTCTTACTAAATTATTTTGCAAATTCTTTTGTTTAAAGATGTTGAGATCGTCGCAGATGTGGCTTGTTTGCTTTTTAGTGGTGCGTACCGTCTGTGAGATGTTTAATTCCCGCTGTTGTGCCGTTGAATCGCATGAACGCACGTTTGAAAATGGATAGAGGAAGCCACGTCGATGTGGCCTTTCATTCTTCCAAGTTACTACAGAAACTAACTCGTTGATTGCATTTTGCAGGCTGTACTTTATTTTCCCAGCTCGTTTTGTGGTCATGTGGTGCAGCTCACAAGTCAAAATTTCGATCAAACACTAGGTAAGGTTTCTGAACTGATCGACGTACGCGATTAAGTTTTAATATTATTGTAAGCTAACTTCGACTCCTCTATCGAGAAACACTCTAAGTCAAAAATATTTGTTTCCGGAAATTTGTCTTACGGCTATTAACTATTTCATTTATCTAGTAAGGAGTTTATTCTGAACTTATTTCCTTGATTTATTTTTCTTTCAGCCGATAATAAACTGGTTTTCATAAATTTTTACGCCGATTGGTAAGTCACTATAATAAATCAAGCGAACTTGTATAATTTTCGTAACATTCGTGCGTTACTCAGGGGCTTCACATCAGCTGGAACACTAAACAAAATAAAGAGCTCGATCATATGCTGCTTTGTTTGATTTTGATGTGAAATGTGGGCTATTTGTTTTGTTTTGCGTGTGTTTTTTAATAAGGTATCAGACTTCCCATTAACAGCCTCTACATACCGCGTCTATACTATTAGACATGCATGGTTTCTTTCAGGTCAAAACGTCTCTCAATTCAGTCAACGATTTCAAAATAATCAGTTTAATTCCTTCAAAACAACTTTTTCTGATAAACACTGTAGATTGTCTTATACCAAACTGTACTGCATGTATACTTCAGCTAATTTAAAAATTTTGCCCATTGATGATAAATGCAAAATTGTATATAAAGCTGCTTTTATGTAATCGTGGAACACGACTGAAATTTAAACCAATGTTTACATTAAAGGCAATTTGAAATTTTTCAAAGCAACTCCAAACCATAGGAAAACATACACCTCTTAAGTTACAGTTGAAAATAAATTCTGGGAATATTACTTTAAAAAGTTGATTTTTTGGATGAAATAATTTTTGAGATCATAGGATCAAAGAGTTATCTAATATCTAATATATTTATGATTTTGCTAAAATGCCCCCCTTGGATTCACTACATTTAGGTAGTGTACACATACAGATTGTGAATTTAATTTTTATTCACAGGCAGCAATTGGCAGTTAAACATTGGCACAATTTGGTTGCTAAAAAAGTTTTATTCATTCAATTTTTTATTACTCATAATGAAATAAAAAAGGGCTGTCTTGTATTTTTTTCAAACTCATTAATTATTCTTAAGGTGATCATCTAACCAAGATACACCAATTTCGTTAGGTGCACGTGCTTTGAAACCCCACTGAAACACCGGAATGATGCACTATCCATGAGTTTCATATGATATCAAACCTTTGAGTTTGGTTAAGCATCAAGCTCCAGTCAACTCATTCCCCAAATTGTGAAATAGTCTTTATTGCAAAGCTAGGTGCGCAGAATCCCTCAAGTTCAAAGGAGAGATCATCAAAGCTCTTTATGGCACAGCATTCATGGAAAGCAGCTGTATAGTGTTGTCATTATTATAATAAATAGTTAATAATTCTAACTCCTTTGTAAACAGCTGAGGAATCATCCATGATTCAATTAAGTTAAAAGTTAAAAAAGATATAAAAATAAACAGGGGGGGAAATAAAACTTCAACTGACCTAAAAAATAAAAAATTGGCTGTAATTTGTATACCTGGATCTTAAAAAGCAAAAAAGTTTATTTCACATTCCAAGGACATAATGCAGAAGAAACTGACTGGAATTTAGTTGGCTTCTCTAGGACAACATTTTGACTGAATCACTCTGACAAACTTATTAATTAACCCTTTAACTCCCAGTTCAAATTTGTAATTCTCCTTACTGTCAACCATACACTTTGTATAAAGTTAGTTCAGAGAATTTGGTATTGGATCAACTAATTATCCCCAAGTTGATATTTTTCTTTATTCTCCTCACCTATCTGGTTGATATTGTATTTGTATCGTAAGGAGAAATTCTGTCTTGGTCACCTATGGGAGTTAAAGGGTCAAGACTGAGTGATTCAGTCAAAATATTTTCCAAGAAAAACCAACAACATGTATCTTTCAGTCAAATTTTTCAACATTTGACCTTTAAAGTTGACCTTTGTTAGTTTTTTTTTTCATGATCACATGCATCAGTGAGTTTATTCCATACAATTAACAGTCCAGTTCATAGTGAAGGTGATGAGTGTAATGTAATTTTATATTTTATCCTCTCAGGTGTAGATTTAGTCAAATGTTAGCTCCAGTTTTTGAGCAAGCTTCTGATCTTGTCCATGAAGAATTTCCGGTTAGCATTGTTTTTATTGTTACATCAATTGATTATCTATTTCATTCCCTGTTTGACAGATAAATTTCTGTATTCCTCAGAACTGCTACTCCTTAGATTTGAGTCTCTGGTTCTTAGGATTGAGGATTTAGTTGTACTTTTAAACTCTCAGCATATAGTGAGCCATTACTGGAGATAGATTGAGAAACAATGGTCGGAAGGAAAAGTTCCTCTGTAACTTTACTGTGAAACCATTCTGTCTTGATCACTGGTGAAATGATAATATGTACAGGCTTTTAACAGATTGTAAAGTGTTAGAGTAGTTATAAGGGTTTCTGCATCACCCTGGATCAGATAATGTAGATAGAAGTATAATTTCCAATAAATGCCACCTTCAAATGATTGCTGTACCCAACATGAAGAATGCAGCATTTATTTGAGGAATTTAATTCATTTTGATTTAATATAAAGTAAGGTACAACTCTGTAATCTCCACTATCCATGAAAATTTCTCTGAAAAAGAGAGATGTAAATTGGTTCTTTGAACAAGGTTTTGTGTCATTTGATAGTTATGGATTATTTACTGTAACTGTTATCTGTGGTTTAAGAAATGACATTTTAGAATAAACTCTACCTTTGATTAAGTCTTGCATCTCTAATTTAATGCAATATGTCTCTATGTAAGAAGAGACAGTAAGCTAGTGTTTTCTCTTTGCAGAGTGGGGTTGTGTTTGGTAGAGTGGATTGTGAATCAGAACAAGAGATAGCACAACGATTTCACATCACTAAATATCCAACTTTAAAGATGTGGAGAAATGCACAGGTAAAACATTACTGTTATAATTATTTTTATGATTGTACGTTATTATATGCGTGATGCAGCAGCTTAACAGTCCATGGGCTCTACTTGAGAGGTCCAGGTTTAAGACCTGGCTGGGTCAATGTCTTGTCTTGGGCTTCTCTTCACTTTGGAGTATAAATGAGTACCCATGAATTGTCAAGCAGGCCTGATGAAATGCTAGGGGGTAACCTTGCAATGGATTAGCATTCCATCCATTGGGGAGTAGTTATACTCCTGGTCTCTTCATGCTTTGGAAACTGGGATAAGCTCCAGTTTGGTGGGCTACTTTGTTCCCAAACAGACTTCACCTTTATTATCTTATCAAAGCATTATCCTTTCTCATTTGTAATACAATAAGTACCTTGAATCATCCAGGACCATAGTCTGTCCATCCTAAAAAAGTGACTTGTTTCCTTCCTTAACCCTCCCTGATCACTCACAGCATAACACTTAACCCTTTACACTCTAACATCAGTATTCATGTTCACCATACTGTTCTCTGTACATTAACTGACAAGGAGAATTTGCCTAATAATCAAGAGTTTCTTTTGTTGGTGATCATTTCTTTCATTCTCTAATATTCATATATTATCCACATCTGTACAATGTACTTTATCGTTCCTTGTAATAAAAGTTGTTATTTCTTATTGTTTACCAAAGAAGCATGATAATGTATAGCAAACAGTATGGAGAATATTTTTTGCTGATATCAGGGCTCAAAGGGTCACATTAGTTAATTCAAATAATTATTGCTTATTCAGGTTACAAGGAGAGAATACAGAGGTCAGAGATCTGTGGATGCTTTTTCAAAGTTTATCAAGGAACAGATGACAAGCAGAATTATAGAATTTCATGCTTTGAGTGATCTCAATGTTGATGTAAGTCTGATAAGAAAAGTGAAGCATGTAATAAAAAGAGAGAAAAATCCTGGAAAATATGGCTAGACTTCTGAAAGAAAACCATGAAGATTCTTTTTCCATTTGGGTAACTTGCAGATGATCTGTGAGAAGTGATAGACATTCACATGTATGTGTTTGTTTTACATTTCTTTTCATTTTTTTACATTTTCTTACAAGAACTGCAGGGTTTGTTTTGTGGAAGATCTAATTTCTTTTATTTGCTCTGGTCTTTTTTATCATGTTCTTGAGTTACTAGGATACTATTAAAGTATCTAAAACCTTGGACTAATGGTTGCCTCATGTAATTTCATGGTGAGGCACATTTGTGTATATACTATAGTTTTATTTGTTTGGTGTTCTGGTTTTGTTTCCATAGACTTCAAAAAGAACTGTCATCGCTTACCTAGAAAGCAAAGACAGTGACAACTTCAAGACCTATGAAAAAGTATGTATTAATTGAATACAATCTGTGCAATTGTATGATTCAAGTTATTGTTAGGCAGCTTTTTTTATAAATTTTTAACAGAATTAGCTGACACAACATCCATCCATGTGGCTGCTCTTGGGGAGACTTTACAAAGTGACAACTAGTGTTGACTTCAGTTTGCCACAATGCTGCTTTTCACCCATTCATTGTTGTACATTTACAGAAAATGGGGTGAGGGGGGAGGTGAAATCAAAGGTATCTGGGATAAACTTGGTACTCTTTTCCAGAATATTGCAATCCCAAAGGTGGTGTGGCAATGTTTTGTCATGGATTACGAGTTACGTGAGAATGATAATACACAGAAAAGTTAAGTGATGATGTTGTAAGGGTCAACAATACAGTAGAACCCCATCAACTTTAAACAATCTTACTTTCCCTTGGCTCAAATTTACCCTGATAACTTGAGCTTTGTGTAAAAATGTTGCTTGATAAATGTCAAAGTGTCAGGACATAGCTGATTAACACTTCCCAATTATTCATGACAATTAATATGAATGTGTAAACTTTAATGGAAACATGATGCACTTAGCTATACTTCCAAAGCTTTGTGTTCTTATCTGAAAGCTCTCATAAAACAAACTAAATGTATGAAACTGACTGTTGAAAGTGCAATAATGGCTAAACCATTATTCCTTTCTATTACCGGTATCAAGAGGATGATTGAAATTCAACATCAACCCAATAAATCAAACAGTTGCTAACTGGAACTAGTTTTTGTTTTCCTCGAGAGTCAAAGATAGTAGGTTTCTATTGTATTGCACTTGATTAACACACTTTCATGTTGAGTGTGTGTTTGCCAATTGTGCTTCATGTCAAATTTTGGGCTGTTGTTTTCAAGTAACAGATGTGTGTGATAGTTTTGTAGTTTGTATCTTATCATACTAATTTTTTTTCCTTTTTTTTCAGGTGGCAGAAGAATACAGAGATGATTGCAATTTTCATGTTGGAGTTGGGTATGTTTATGGAAAAGCTTTAATTTAAAAAGTCTTCTCAATTGAGTGAATGCATGGACTAGATGCAACTTCAAATTCTCATTGAGTTTCACATGGGGATACGAGACAAAGCAAAAGGAGTCTTTGGAAATCTATAATAAATCATTTGCAGGACATTTTTGTGCACTCTTTCAAATGACAGCTATCATGCACACAGCCAAAACAATTATTACAAATTTAGTAACATTCAGTAATTGTTTTTTTGTAGGGATGCTTCTCTCAAAGAAAGACAGACAGGAGAAAACATTGTCTTCAGGCCTCAGCATGTGGGTGCATATGGAATAAATGATATTAATTGACATTACAAACTAATTGTGGGCCAGTCTTTTGAAGTGGAGTGACCACTATTAATTGTTTTGAGCCAGATGCTGAACCAAATGAGCTCCTTTAGTTGGGAGACAAGAAAGTAAATCATTCAAGGAACCCAGGTTTTGACAGGAAACTAGAAATTTCAGTATTAGCATCCATTATTTATATGATGAAGCACTTGGTACTTCTGCACTCATCTTCTTCCATGTAACAAAATTTTGTCCCTTTACCCTTTACATCCTAACATCAGTATCAATATTCTCCATACTATTTACTATACATTTCCTAAGGTGCTGACAAGGAGAACTTCTTTGATAATCAAGAGCTGCTTTAGTT